TTTAAATGCTAACTATAGTGTGATATTTAGAATCCCCATATAACAGTATCCTTTCCTAAGTAATGCCAATACAAACAAAGGCAGTCGAATTTTAAACACCACTTTAAGAATTTTCATATATATGTTGTCAATACTAACAATGGCAGTAAGAAACAGTTTTAAATAGCTCTAAATAGCATTATTATTACTTTAACCTTCAGTTTTACATTGAAGAAGGGGTCAGTGGTCAAATGTTACATTATATTTAAAATCTTTATGATACTTTTTATATGTTGACATGTTAAAAGGCACACTTGTAAGAATCACAGTTTCTAAGTTTTAAGGCTTTTTGTTCATTTTCGACCAATAAATCATTAAGTTGGCCTTGAACACCTTAGTGGATATAAGCCAAATGGATTATTAACATGAACCCACTCTACACTCCTACAAAGTTTTATCATAATTCATTCATAACTTTTCGACCTGTCACGCTTACAGAGAGAATGACAAATTGTTGTGTTCTAAATGTTATGCAGCCATCTACCACAAGATGGCGCTGCAGCTTTACATTGCTATAGAAAAGCACCAGAAATTTGTTAATGCAGCCTTGATCTTCTTTTAAGTCTGTCATTGTTCTTTTGAGAGAGAACGAGAAAGATCTAGATCGTGGATAAAGGTGTCAGAAGTCACCTTTCTCTCAAGAGTAGCTGCACGTTTCCTTGGCATAGGGTGAGGAGTGCAATCATTTTAGAGGGGCTCAGAGCAGAGTAGCTGCTTCTCCTGCACATCGAAAGGAGCCAGTTGAAGTAGTCGCCTCCTGGGTAAGGTGTTCTGGTCCAGCATGGATGATCGAGAGGAGGTTCAGGTGTAGACCCAGGACACCATGAAGTGATTACCTCTCTCGGTCAGCCTATGAACATCTCGGTTCCCCGGATAAGCTGGAGGAGGTGGCTGTGGAGAGGAGGTCTGGGGTTTTCTGCTTTGGCTTCTTTCCTCTCAAACAGGTTGAATAAAGTGGATGGATCCATGATTTATTGTTTTTTGGTTTTTTTTAATGTTTTTTTGATTTTATCTTTTAGTGAGATGTCATGAAGTCATGAAGTGTAGAACAGTATGCATTGTTGATTATTCACAGCACAATGCACCACACTTTCTAGTCATTATTTTTTCTCTTAATTTTTTGCATTTTAATATAATGTGAAGATCTATTGTAGAAATTTTCATATTTAACATCAGTTAATTTTTAGTGTTTTTTTGGTGTTTACAGGT